CCATTAGTTTACTTTGACAGAAAACTTTCTGGCTGCTTTCTATTGGACAAATTTGTTCAGTATGTTCTGAAACCACTGACTGGTTTGGGCCCACAGAGAAGCAGGAAACACCTGCTATGCACTTCTCGAGGGCTGGGTAGCCAAGTAGCTGAATTTTACCAGGACTAGAGTGGTTATGGAAGAACCAAAGTAGTTGTCAGCTGAGTAGAGGCTTTGAAGATTTAAATTTTGCTCTTTAAAGAAGTATAGATGAGGATTCAGAAAGCCAAAAAGAATACAAATACCCTCACCCATCTGTCAAGTACCTTAAGGTTGAGATCATCCTTTATCTTCCCTTTCAAAACTTCACTAACTTATTAGTAAGGAGCCAAGTTTCTCTGCCTCATATCATCTACCAACAGATGCCCACTGCTCCATGTTAAGGGAAGTCTTCATGTCCATAGTCAGTAAAAAGGTGAAAATATGAAAGATTTTTCTCTTTTTCCTTGTCATTCTGTAAACACAGGAGGAATTGCTGAATATTATTACTATGCAGTATGAAGAATTCCAGTAAGTCCAAACATACCCCAACATTCCTCTTCTGTTTTCATATGTTCTTTAATAATAAAACTTCTCAAATGTACTTGTATGGGTTTTAGACATCCAGATAGTTATGATCACACACAACTTTCAAAATTATGTAAAAAAATAATGAATTTATTAATTTCTGAATATTGCTTATACTTTTATTTGCAGCCAGGCTGTATTCAAGAGTAGATGGAAGTCCATTTGCTTCAGCATAAATTATAAAATTCCACAGTGACTCTAATGTTGAAGAATTTTTCCCTTTCTCAAATATTGGCTTCTTAAGAAACAAAATTGTATATAGCTTTGTTTACTGCTAATGAAAGTCTTGCCAGACCTTGACTAGAAATGTCAAGCACACAAAGACACCTTATTATCGCACAGACTGATCATATTTTGAATCTTTGAAAGTTTTGCACTTAGCTGTTGATGCCTTACTATTCCATTATGGCCCTTCTCTACTTGTCAGGAAGATGAGCTTAAAGGTATAAGATGATTTATAAAACCTAGGTTCATCACAGAAATCAATACACCAGAACTTTCTTGAGAGGAAGAATGGATGTACTTCTGGAGAGCTTCTCAGATTCCCTGGCCAAAGTGAAAATTGCTTACTGGAAGTAAAAGGATTGAAAGAGGGAAAAGTAGACAGTGGCCCATGCTCCAATTTCAGTATTAGTTTAAGGTATCAAGTTGTATTCTGGACAGGTAAAAGTGTTTCTGTCTAATGTTCCTATTTAGCACTAGAAAGGGAAGCTTGCAGGGAAGGATGTCTAGGCAGAGAGGGAAGAAGGCAGGAAGATAATTTGTCAAATTAATCAATGGACAGAATATCATTATTGAAACTGCACTCAGGTTCTTGATAGAAACTTCACCTTAACTTAATAAACCAGTTCTCAGGTGAACAAAATCATCTGAGAATAAAACAGCTCTTGGTTTAAGTATGTGAGTGGGAAACGTTTTCCTCACTAGGAAAATGCACCTACAAAAGAGCTATTTGGGAAAGCCTCCCTCTGGACAGAGCCTAGAGTAAGATGACAACTTTCATAAAAAACCAAAACTGCCCGAGTTAATGAAGCGGTGGACAACTGCAGGGTAGGTACCACCATGGTTGTTAACTTTCATGTTAGATGAGAAATAGAAGTGGAATTCCATACATGAAAGAAAATGGCTTAGTCCAGAAGCAAGCATCTCCCTCCTTCAAACAAAGCAGAGAGTAAGGTCTTACACTTCCGGGAACAAGGTGGCATGTGGCTTGAAGGTATCCTTTTAACAAATGCAACAGACCACAAAAAAAGGATGGCTTGTGTCTTTTGTATTATTGCCTGATTATTTCCAGATGTTGCTTAATGGCTCTGCAGCTTTGTTGAGTTACATTTGTATCTTAGGTTGTCTTTTTGTGCTGTGCAAGAAGAGGAAACAAGAGGACCTACGTGCAGAGTTCATAGAGTAGAAATGATTCTGGATAAGGTGTGTCTTAATACATAAGATAATAGTGTAGTTGAAACCAATTACATTCTCATTCATCATGTCACTAAGCCAAATAACTTATAAGTTTGATAAACTTCATATGGGATTACAGTGAAACATGATTCAGCATTACAACTGATTTAAAAAGATTATCATGCAAACCCAATACAGCACATGGGAAACAGGAATATCCGTAATTAGAAATAAACTAAAAGAATTGTTTTCTTAACTTAAAATCACTATTAAGGAAATAGCAAGAAGCAGTAAATAGGTTACCAATGGCCAGCTACAAATATATATTTAAAAAGTCTTATTTTTAGCAGCATCTATACAGAAATCTATTCCTGCCTCAATATTGTTCATCCTTGAATTTACTGTGAATAAGCAATGAATATAGAAGTCTTTGAACTGCTAATTGTGGCTTACTATTTACAAAGTTTATTTTAATACTCAATTTTCATGCAAGTATAAAATACTAATTCCATGGACAAATACAAATTTGTTCACCACTCTAGATTATATACTAATATTCAGAGAAGTGCAAAGTCCACAGTGACGTAAATAACAATAGTTTTGTAAATTATTAAATGGACTCTCAGAAGGTATTAGGAACTGCATGAACAAGTATCTTTTTGCATACTGCTGAAACCAAACACTTTTGCAGTAAAAGAACATACATTTCAGCTACATTCAAGTGATTATTTTATTACCATATATTATGTCTTACAAACTTTACTGGAGATGAGCAAGAGCACTACAAAACCATACCTTAATGCAAGAGGTGTACTGCATGGTATGTGCAGGCATAGCAAAGGAGAGGTAAGAACTGGAAAGAAGAACAAGCTAAGAAAGTTTGTACAAAAATGGATAGTAATACTGACTAACACTGGGTTATATAATCTTACTTACAATAGACCTGAAGGGCTAATAGAGATCAAATTTAGAAACATCTGTGCACTGTAGGTACAGTTTGGTGCAGATCAAGAGTGCGCTAATACAGCCAATGTTGTATGCGTAAGATAATGCACAAAATACGCTGATATGCATATAAACAACTAATTTGTTTACAGTAAGTAGGGCAGCACAGCTGTAGTACTGCAGCCTTGGCACTTAGTGATAGGACAACATGTATTTGGTTTAACTAAATTCATAAACAGGATATATACTGGTTTGTAAGATGTAAAACATACATTATCCCTTTGAACCTTCCAGTTTTACAGCATTTTTCTAATTTTCAAGTTCAAATGCAAACATGATACACTAGCTAGATATGGAAGACGTTTCAGATATTGGCTTAAAACAAGATCTTCAATAAAAAATAAAATTAAAAAATTAATTCAAATTATATTAATTAAATTGGATGTCTTGTGCTGAAAACAAAATCTGAAACGTTTAAAAAACCAAAAAAGACCCGCAATCTTGTAATACAACCCACAATGTCTTTTATGGGCTTTTCCTGAATAGTAACTGCTTTCTTAACGTCCCTTTCACATATGGTAATCTCACTTTAAAGAACTGCAGAAGTTATTAACCTGAAAAGTTGTGACTGAATTGAAGTTTGGCCTAGCATATCATATCACACAGAATGGAAGAAAATATGCTGTTCTTCAAAGAAACCATGTTTCAGCTATGAAAGGATTCCAATTTTAAGTGATTGTCCTCATATTAAACAATATTAACAACCATCTGGAGGGAGCCAATTTACTTTTGCCCGTTTTAAACAAACTAGCTAAACTGCTGTTTTATATTACATATAAAAAAATGTAATAAAGTTGTTCTTAACATGTAATGATGTAACACCTTAAAATTAACTGGTTTAAAATATTTTACAAAGACGTTTTATTACATATGAACTATACAACACACAAGAGTATGAAATACTTTTAACATATACACATTTCTGTATTTTTCCACTTAGATTATTATTTTGCACCAAACATTGGTGTCTGCAATTCTAACAACCCTCTCAGATAAAAACAGAACAAAAACCCAGTCTGTTTCATGGATGTGGGTTTCTTTTTTTTTCCTGATAATAAAACCTATTACAAGGAGAATTTATCTAATTACTTTTTTCTCTTCCTAATTTCATATTTTGCACAAAGCTTTTTTTTCCAATGGAACAACATACATACAAAGAATAACCTCCTCTGTAATTTCCAGTGCAATTTGCTAGGGCTGAAGTTTCAACCAAAACTGACCATTTCCCCACAATGAAAACTGCAGGCAAAGTAAATGTCAACACCAATCACTACTGAGATTCCTTTCCCCCTTATTTAAACTGCAATCCTTTTCAATAACCAATTTAATGAAAGTATTTGCATAGAGCAGCGTTGTATTGTTTCTAAAGAACATTATGAGCGTTTTAACACAAGATAAGGCACATGTTTTTCAGCATTAGTAATCTAAAACTAATCCTGAGGATCTACTCCTCCCACTCAGCAAAATCTGCTTTTTCAATATACCCTGTATTACCTGAAGAAAGCACAAAAACAGTATAGGATAAACCAAAACTCTTCAGCTGAACTAAATTCAGAACATTAATAACTCCTGTTAATAGTGTAACAAATCCAGAGATAAAGAATTAAGTAATTCTCTAAGCAAATTATCTTTGGGGGGAGGGGGGGGAAAAGATAGAGCCAGTAGCACTGCAGATGTTAGATAAAAATCACATAATATGGATGACATTTATAGTGAGTTTTGCTAAAATAAGCTCCTATGAGAAAAAAGGTAGCTACATTGTGAGGCACTTAAGGTTGACAAGAAAAGGAGGAATGCAAGGGGTCTGTTTCACAGAAAACCTGAAGTTGCATATCATATCCTTGTACTAAGCCTTCTATTAAAGTGCTAGAAATGGAGATTTAAAACAAAAGGATTTAAATATAAAATAAGTGATTAAAGAGCTTAGTATGCTTTAAAATGAAGTGCTTTTGATTCTCATGAAATCAGAGCCTTTTAATAGTTTTTTAAAAATAAAGTCTGGAAATAATCCATGTGTGAAACCATCTTCCTTGTGCCATTGATGCCACTTGTAAAGTGCCCAATTTATTTTTCTAAACAACAAAACCATTTGCCTTATCTTATGTTGTATAGGATGACAGTCTGTAGTACATATGTAAATCCACACTGCAATGACACCGTTAACCTGATGGAAAACAGCACACACATACTTTTAGTCAGAAGTTTTAATTCCACCTAAAAAGTCAGATCTTGGATTACATATCCACCAGTACATAGTGCAACCAACCTCCTATTTTCAAAATGTGATTTAGCTGTTAAAAGTCTGATGCTTAGATAGAGTTATTGAGCTTTTCCTCAGAGCAGCCTTACACCCAGACAAAATCACAGATGGAGCTCTACATCTGAATCACATAAACCCACTAGATGCCAAATCTGAGAAGGATCTGGGTTCTGTTGGATGATGAAGAGGCTGAAGATGTGTAGCAGTCTGTGCATTAGTGATCGCATCTAACTGAGAGGGATATGCTTCATTTACATTTCCTCCATTGAAACCATTTTGGAACTAGCAGGAAAAAAAACACAATAAAAATTGTTAGTAGGAAAACAGATTTAATGCTATTTTTAAAAAAAATCCTCCTAGAGACACAGATTGGATGAAATAATCTGAAAATATACTTAATAGCTTTGAAACTTTTTTAAAATTGCTAATGATCAGCAGTTAATTTGCATTTAAGTAGTCTGAATCATGAGTGAAACTTGCCCATGTTGAAGTCAGTGAGACTCCTACACCACTATTATCTAAAGCTTAATATAGTTTCCATTTGTAGAAAGTACCATCTGACTGAGCACTAATTTCCACATCCAGCTGTTACATTTTAAAAGCAACTTATTTACAGATTTTCACATCTGCAGTGGAATCCAGACTTCACAGCTCTACCAGTAGTGCTCATGCAGTCTTATTCATAAGCTGAAGTGTACTGCATTCAGTCCACAGGCTGAGCTACCACAGGGTGGGCTTTCTTGACAATTATTTTCATCTTGACAATGCCAAGTAAGAGCAAGGAATGGCTTTCATCAGTCCTGACATAATTGTTCATAGGATTACTTTAATCATCTGATAAGAACACTTCCTGTCATGCTATGGAAAAGTCACTTTATCTACAAAATACTACATTCAGTCATGCAAAGAAAATACAACAAAATATTTTAAACATTTCCATCATCTCGTCAGGAGTAGCTTGTATTGTAAGGGCTCATTCATCCAAGGTCTGTTGTTAAAACATATATTAAAAATTCATTCACCTGTCAAAATATGCTGGGTTTTCAAAACATTTTTCCTTCTATGCAAACACCAAAATCTAACTAAGTTTCTACTAAGATCATAGCCATGTGAATTATGTTTTTATTCAAAATTGCCATATTTTTAAAGACAGCTACAACAACATGAACTAGAACTCCTTCTGATAGAAACAGATTATTTCAGTGTTCTTCATTAACAAGATGAGCACGCTCATTAAAATTTCTAAGTTCTCAACACTGAATCTAGTAATTAGCAATTTTTTTCCTATTTAATAAAGAAATACTGATCTTAATAAAATTATTTGAGGCCTTATGTGTCCTCCTCCATCACTGAAAGTGTTTTTAGGCTACATTGGCTGTGGTCCTACCGCAAGTACAAGTTAGGCAGAAGGCGAAGACAGATGACCACAACAGACCCTTCTGGCTTTCTAATCCCCCAGTCTTTTCATGTAGAAATCAATGGGAGTTAACAGGCTGAGGAAAGGATAGCAATCGTGGCTTCTGTAGCAATGTCTGTCTGCTCTCTCTCCACACTCCAACCACTGACAGGGAAGTCAGTGTGCTAAATCCAGCCACAAAGACTGCCCTACTTTGGTTTTGCTGTGTGAACACAGGCTTAGACAGAAGTATCATATCTGCTTAGTAACATCCTTATTAAAGTTACCAATTAGCAGTAAAATCAAACCTTAAGTTTATTATCATAAGCAGTGATACATTCTCCCTATTTACAATAAAGAAATACATATTTGCCATCATGGCTTTGGCACAGGCACTATTTTACAAGATTATGTCAAGTGCAGAAAATATACTTCTGACTTACTAGTTCCTGCGGGTTCATATATTTTAAAGCTTTTAACTCACCTGATACAAGACTAAATACAATCTCTGGAACATAAACATATGAAAATATAGGGTTCTCTCTTTTTTTTACATTAAAACATTTATCAACATAACTTTTGCTTACATAGAGCCTCACTTTGCCCTCAGACTACTAAAATCATAGAACCATCCTGGTTGGAAGGGTCCTTGAAGATCATCAAGTCCAACCGTAACCTAAATCCCCCTACCATGACCTAATTTAGCCGTTCAGTGCTTATATCATGTCGCTACACACTATATAACTATATTTCTTATAACCACTTCCAGCGATGGTGACTCCACCTCCTCCCTGGGCAGCCTGTTCCACTGTCCAACCACTCTTCTGGTAAAGAAATTCTTTCTAATATCTAGTCTAAACTTCCCCTCATGTAGCTTCAGGCCATTTAATCTCATCCTGTCATTATTCACTTGGGAGAAGAGGCCAACTCCCACCTCGCTACATAGAGAGCAATGAAGTCTCCCCTCTGCCTTCTCTTTGTCAAACTAAACAATCCCTATTCCCTCAGCCTCTCCTCATAGGACTTATTCTTCAGACCTTCCACCAGCTTGGTAGCTTTTCTCTGGACATGGTCCAGCAACTCTACATCCTTCTTGTAGTGAGGGGCCCAGAACTGCACACAGTACTTGAGGTGTGGCCTCACCAATGCCAACTACAGGAGCATGATCACCTCGCTACTCCAGCTGGCCACACTATACCTGATGCAGGCCAAGAAGGCCACCTGGGCACAGTGCTGGCTCATGTTCAGTTGGCTGTCAACCAACATCCCCAGGTCCTTCTCTACCATGGAGTTTTCCAACCAGTCATCCCCAAGCCTGTAGGTTTGCATGGGGTTGTTGTGGCCAAAGTTGATTGGTAAATGTGACTAGAAGTCAAAACTGAGCACAGTCTGATACAAGAAATATTGGTTTTTTTTTTCATGTGAACAGCATACAGCAGTATAGGCTGCAAAGTCAATGCTGTTTGGTTTAGCAGAAAGCAGTCTCTTCCCAACCCCCACTACACTCTGTTGGAATTTTTGAACCCCCAAGGACTTGGAGATAGCGATCAGCTATTTATGATCACTCTTCCACAAAAAGGTTAGGGGGAATAATCCTTCCTTATCTCATCAAGAAAAGTTCTCTTTTAAGCTCATTTGGACAAACGTTCAGCAGTTCTCTTCAGCGGTAAAGAGGAGTTAAGGCACCCAAGGCTAACATCAGTTCTGCACTAGGGCTTCTGCTTGTGCAATGCTATCCAGATCCACACAGCACAGACGTACCATAGCAAAGAGAGGCTGAATTTGCCTCTGAACAACTTAAGTACAGACAACTTGACGCAAAGTGGTCTTTGTTCATTTTTCATTACAAAAAAGCTAAATGCATATTATTATCACAGCACAGCTTTCTAGTGAATATGAAGAAATAGGCATATTCATTTATTGTTCAATTCTAGAGTCCCCAACATAAGAAGGATGTTGAGCTCATGGAGAAAGTCCAGAGGAGTGCCACGAAGATGATCCAAGGGTGGGAGCATCTCTCCTATGAAGACAGGCTGAGAGAGTTGGGGTTGTTCAGCCTGGAGAAGAGAAGGCTCTGGGTAGACCTCAAAGTGGCCTTTCAGTAACTGAAGGGGTCCTACAAGAAAGCCGGGGAGGGACTTTTTACAAGGGCATGTAGAAGGAGGACAAGGGGTAATGGATCAAAACTGGAAGAGGGGAGATTTAGATTAGACATTAGGAGGAAATTCTTCAGTATGAGGGTTGTAAGACATGGAACAGGTTGCCCAGGGAAGTTAGGGAAGCCCCATCTCTGGAGGTGTTCAAGGCCAGGTTGGAGGGGGCTCTGAGGAACCTGATCTAGTGGGAGGTGTCCCTGCCAACACAGGGGGCGTTAGATCTAGATGATCTTTAAGTCCCTTCCAACCCAAATAATTCTATGATTCTATGATGATTGAATTCAGAGATGCTGTCTTAGTCATTAAACTTACAGATAGATGAGAAGAAAAAGTAAGCAAGAACAAAAAAGGGGCATAAAAATTATTAAGGCAGCACAACAAAATAATCTATAAAATAAATATATTTGAAACCCATCATTAAGAGGAAAGAAAATTAATTGCTTACGTGCTGGCTGTTTAAAAGACATGCACCACACCAGCATAGCTTTTGGTGAAAGAACAATTCTATATTATGATAGGGATAAACTTGGATGACCCTGGTACTGTTTTGCAACCCAATTATCAAGCAGTATGAGGGACTTACAGCACTGACCACAGACAGACAACATACAGCCATGCACTGTGCAAGCTTGTGCACTGCAGATCACCAAAGTAATTTCATGCTATTTCAGCCCTTGGGCACTCAGGCAGAAGCTATTAATCTTGCTGAACTGTTCTATATTTTACCCAAATTTCTGTAATTCTGCAATTGTATTTTTTCCACTTGTGAAAAAGTTTTTAAAAGAGTATGTTTTGTACTTGTATTAAGAATACTGAAAACCTGGGTATGTTCTACTTGCATTCCTCACCTCTGTCTTGTGTAGGTTAAATGCGAATTAATACTTTAATTCTGTAAATGCTTATGCATGTGCACAAGCATTTGTAGGATCAGAACTTTAGAACATTAACTCATTGAGGTAAAAAAAAAAAAAATCGTGCCTGTGTTCTTGACCATTAAGAGAAATGGTGCTCTTTAAAGTACTTGAACAAAGGGTATTAAAAATCAGGAACTGCCTTATTAATTTTATTTTTTTTTTAATTTCTAAGTTAATTATACCTATAAAGAACTGTGCTTAAAACTAGTCTGTGTGCTACAGCCAGGCTCCTCTCTTCTACAGCTTTTATTATGCATTTTTCTTAGCACAGTGCGAAAAAGTTCCAACTTATCTACTGTGAATATAATTTTGCCTGCTCTTTTGTCTTCAGCAAATAATTTAGACAGGAGCTTGAGACATGAGCTGGCTTTCATTTATGGCAATATATAAAACTATTTTTATTTGTATTATCACGTGTAGAAATGTAATGTTTTTTAATGTTTTACGCTGTTTATGTGATGATATAATCTGATAGTTCAAGGAATCCTAAAATTCTAAAAAGCAGCCAGAGAACACTAACATTTTAAAGACAAGATATTTTCCTGGATCCATCCTTACAACATATTTAATGAAACTGGATGTGCCAGACAATATTACTGGTGTAATTGCACTCCTCAAAAAAAGGTATGTAACTGAATTCCCAAGCTTTTGACCAATCTGCTTTTCCTTTGCTTCTGCTGGCAGGTACAACAGAATAGTTCACTCTTGCATTCACACTGTCAAAGAGAGCTACCAGGATACATTTAAATAAAAACTTGACCAAATGCAACTCTCTTCAAACTAATGTACAAATAAAGCTAGGACATTCACATGTTTTTAATCCATCAGTTTCACACTCAGTGGTTCAACTATGATAAACTCTGCTTTCCAGTCACCATCCAAAACAATAAACACAAAATTCAAAACACAAGCAAGATAAACATTGCTTTTTACCTTACCTTGTTCAACAGAGTTTGTTGACTTGCCATGATAGGATCATACTGCATTCGATCCACACAGCTGGGCTGTGCTTCCTGCGCGCACTGGTACATAGAAACAGCGCCTGCATAGCATGTTTGAGGAGTCAGCATAACCGGCTCAGAGTTTATTCCACACTCACGATTTTCAGGGACTTGCTGCAAACAACTCAGAAAATCCTCCAAGTTGGAAGAAGCAGAACAGGTTGATCCATCAAAACCTGCTACAGGGAAATCCATTTGAGCAAAGTTAGAAAGCTGTGGCATCATTGCTGTGGGTTGCTTGTAAGAAATAAACTCTTGCCTACATGCAAAAGGGGAAGAGCTCCCTTCTGATTTGTAAGGGAACTCTGATGTGGTGGCATGCATGCCAGGGAACACATATTGCTGGGGCTGCTGCTGCGAGCAGCTAAGGGGCATGCTGGTGCCAGGGCTCCAGTTTGTGAACATCCCATTGACTTGCATGTGTTTCATCTTTTGACAGAGCTGCTGTTGCTGCTGCTGCTGCTGCTCCACAAGCTGTTTCTGGTGCTGATGAAGCTGATGTGGATCCAACTCTTGCTGTACCAAGCAACCTTCATTCTGGACCAGGGGCTGCTGCTGATTACAGCCTGAATATAAGTAGTCAGACTTATTTAATGAATCCTGAACATAGGTCAGGATTTCATCAGTTATGTCAATGTCCCCAATATCATCCACACCAGATAATTCAGTTTTAAAAAACTCCTCATCCTGCTGAATACACTTTAAATCTTCAAAGTCAATACCCAGATTTTTCATGATGCTGTACAAATCACTGTTTTTGTTATCTTGAAAAAGTGCTGCACTGTCCTCAGGAAGTGGAACAGTACTTTCCTGGGAACACTCCATTAGCTCCCGTTTGAGAATGTTGTGATTTCCAGCAGGAAGGAGATTATCTGTCCAGCTGCTGCTAACACCACCACCCAGTTCATCCCTGCTGTCTGTAAAGAAGTTCCGCTCAAAGGAAAGTTTATGCGATGCTGGAGGGCAGAGATACACAGACTCATCTTGCCTTAACATGACACCCAGGAGGGAGTTTGGATCCACAGAATCGTTGTGTAGCATTCCTTTGCCTCCTTTTCCTGTTGTGCTTTTACTCTTCGGCTGAGAGGGATCCATAAGGCTCGACATTTTCCAACACAGCCTCACCAGTGGCAAACATGAAGGGCAACTTCATGTTGCGCTTCCGTAGGTGTTCTGCCCCTTCTTCATCTCTGAAAATAAATTAGATATATAACATAGTACTGCAGTACTGAACAGTTACTGTAATCTTTTTGTCCCCTGGAATTAATGTGAAAATAAATAAAGAGCTATGCTATTTGTGGGCATTCAGGCATTTTTCAAATTCTTAGCTATGCCAGCTCAACTTCTCTGAGTTAAACCAAGAGGCAGATTATGAAATAAGGAGCTTATGACTGTAATACTACTACCTTTATATATTACATTTGTAATTAAGTCTAGATAGCATACACCACTTTATGTGCATTATGAGCTGTAATGAAAATAAGTGGGCTTTATTCCATGCCTTATGTTTTTCTTGGCATAACAAGTAAATGCATACCTCAGTACTGAATTCTCTCTTGCTTCATTTCACAGGCTTCTTAGCAAAATTATTTAACCTGTGTAATTAACGCTGAATTCCATATCATGTAGCATTTAATCAATACCATAAAGGTAATATTTATTTTTAGGTTATTTGTTTTTTCTTCTACACAATCCAACTGCAGTTGGATTTCTTCATTTTTGCTGATGGGGATGCTGATGGGTTTGCTGAAATAACGTGGTTCTTGTATCGCTGCTCTTATTCCTTATATGAAACCAAAACGTCAACATTTTACACATAATTGACTAGAGGTTTTCTTTTTGGAGTTTAGGATTAAAAGGAGGTTTATTGAAAAACAAATTATTCCTTTTTGAATATAAGCAAGTACAAAAATTTTTTTAAGTACATTGCTTTCTGCAATTACTTACGTCAGAGGTCTTTGTGTGGCAATGATGTAATCTGGTCTTCCATTTTTGTAGACTAGACGTGCATTTGCCTGTACCCAAGCCCATCGGTTTTCTTTGGTCAGAAGCCTAAATACAGTCATTCCACTCTCACCTGTCTTCATCACTAGAGTTAGAGAGTAAGCATCCTGTTTACTGTCCAGTGAACCAAAATAGGAAATCTGGCATGCTATGAAAGCAATCCCATTTGAAGAGCAATTTTACAAATCTCATATCCTCTACCATCCATTTCTGTATGGCACTAATGTATTCCCAGTGAAATAGGATGATTGATCATTTTAAGTTTTCTACTTAAATTTACTGTTGAAATACGTGAAAACTGCAAGCAACTGCAAGTACTACAGTACAGATTGGGAGCATTCCATATGAAGCTTCACCAATTAAATACTAGAACATGTAAGTGACAAAAGCCTAAGCCTCCTATATATATATATATAAATTACTAATACTTAAAAAATTAGAAAACAGATTAGCTCTGAATCCAATTCTTTCACATTTTCACTACTTCATGCAGAGGTACTTCAAAATCCCACTTTCACTTCACTAACAATGCTTTATAAACATACTACATTTCCATTGCACATTGCTGAAAACACAGCATTTCTAGATAGAAAAATTAAACTAAAACATATCAGGAAAGTTCAAGAATCCTAACTAAAAATAATGTTTGCTAAAGACTTTTTTTTTTTTTTTTTAATCTTAGCAACAGAAATGGAACAAAACCACTCTGAAGGCAAACTCTGAAACTGAATTTTCAAAACAAAGTTTCATCCCATTCTTTTCTGGACACATTTTCTTCCTTATTCCTTACCAAGAAAACACAATAGGCAAACAGCAACTCAGCTCTAAGTGAAACAGCCTGCTTTATGTAGGTTCAGAATTTAACCTACTGAGTCAGGTTACTTAATTGTGTATAAGGAGCCTAAAGAAAAAACAGTTGCTCAAGAGGAGCCAGAAGAAAAGAAGCAGCATCAAAATATCCTGAAGATGTTTCTGTAACTTCCAAAGAGAAATATGTTACAACAAACAAACAAACTAGTCCACCAAATGGTTATGTATCAGATAACTGATACTTATTTCCTTAGCTTCCTTATACTGCTCTCCTTAAGCTGTTACTTAAACCAAATTAAGCTGCCAAGAATCAAAACCAGAAATGTCTACAGACACTAGCATTCTCAAAGATTAATTTATGTTAAAAATCTTACACTGATATAACAAGAACATTCTTTATTTAACTTCCTAACAGGAAAGCTGTATTTGAAATAGTCCCTTTGCCCAAAGGAAATTTTTGAAATAGCAGAAGTTGGGTTGAGCAGAGAAGGAAGTGAGAAGAGCAAGATGTGACAAAAACAGGAATATATAACCTAAAAGGGTCTAGATAGGAATATTAAATATTTCCTCATCTAAGTTTATATAGGTAGGGAAAGATCACATTAAAAAAACAGTGTTCTTTTTGTTAACAACCACTTTTTTTTTTTAAGACTACTTCATAGTATTGTTTCAGTATTAATATTTAATCCATGCTTTGATTTTTTTAGCCTTTATTAGGAAATGAAGCTTACTTCGAACATGGTTTTCAGCACAATAAAGCATATCTGCTGCATGAACAAACTGGTACCCTGTTCCTCTCATGCACAGCTCTGCTTCAGTGTATCCCAGGACAATCTTTCCTCTGGAAGGTTAAAAAAAAATAGTTGCAACACTGCTGATGAACCAACTCACAGAACGAATGCTAAGTAAGTAATTATGGCTAGAACATTTCAGACGTAAATGCTAACTACATTTTGTTGCAGTATCAATTGTATGCAGAAGCATGATGGTTCTAATAAAATGCAGTTAACACAGAATGAAACTTTTACTAGTCTCACAAGTTGCCATCAGTGACTAGGAACAGGCTCACAAAATTATTAGATCAGTAAAAACAAGTGTGTTTCCAGTTCAGTTGGATCATGGTCACTTATAGCAGGCAGCTCCCATTTGTTGCAATGAAAACACACTGTTTGCTTAGCCCTGTTTCATAGCATTTCCCTATAGGTGCTTGCATGAAAATTTACGTAGGACTTTAGTTATATAGAACTTTTCGCCTAAAGTAGTATTTTTAGTAGCTTAAAATCAAAAACTGGGCATATCTCAGAAATACATCCTTTGCTCCTCAGGGTTTGGGATACCTGTGTTGACGTTTAAGCTTTCTAAGAAATGCCTCAGACAGATACTGGCAGTAAGAGTCATGTTTGTCCCTGGTAGCTAAAATCAAGTACTTTACCAGAGGTCAGGTAGATTAAGAATTTAACACCATTTGTGTGAGTGCTGAGATACGTGAAAGAATGAAACAGTCAAAAAGAGACTAACAGTATTTGGAACAAAGAAATTGAGTTCCAAAACTGAGGGGAGAGGAGGGCAGAAAAAAAATTGGGGATGGGGAACAATATATGCAAAAGTGTAAAATGTGACAAAAATTGAAGGTTTCAAGTGAAGCACAATCAGAAAAATCAAACAGGGAAAAAAGTTTATATTTACATTTTGTTAACTTTAACTTCCATCAGTTAGATAGAAGGAGGGTTTTTGTGTTTTGTTTCTTTTCTTTTGGTTTTGGAGTTTTTTTGGGGTTTGTTTTGTTTTTAATGATTGAGAGTCAAAAAGCAAGACACCCTTTTAAGGAAGTATACTATGATTATCCCATTTCTCTCTAGTCACTATGAAGGCTTAAAAAAAAAATTCTAACAGTTTCTAAACAATCATCAGCATTGACTGAAATAGTAACAGCTTTATATTTCAGATACATATTTTAAACCTATCTCATCAGCAAGTGAGAAAAGTATTATGCAGAAGACTTTACACCTACTTTGCATCACAGCCAGTAGGCGTGAAATCCAGTTTGTGTTTAGTTCTGAAGATGAAGTTTTTGGTTCGTATCTCAAGGATAGATGGTGGCTGTAGGGGAGTAGCTACTGCAAACAGAGCAAGCTGAGGTGACAAAGCAGCACCATCTTTCCCTTTCTTGTTTTGTCCATGAAGAAACTTTAATCGTCCTTGAAAATTCATAGCCTTAGAATGAGGAAAAAAAAAGCTGTTGTTTTACATTGGAGATACTGAAGAGTCAGATATTCCTGTTACAATGTAAAACATATTTTTTGTTTATTTTTTTAAAGATCCACCAGTTTCAAGCTTTGTAGTATGGCATACATGAAAATAAGCTAACAAGTACAGCATATGTTTTTTGTACCCCTGAGCATGTCACTTGGAGACCTACCAACAAACTCCCTAGAAAAAGAACTAATGAGAAGGTTGTTTTGTCAAAAAACCCCAAACATATAATAGCAAATGCCAACTGGGTCTTCAAGTACTCCAAAGACTATGTCATTACACAAACATACATTATTTCTCTTGCATTTCTGTCAGTTATCAGTACGAAGTATGTAAATGCATACCATGGCAAAATCTTTTAACAGTTAAGAGGGCGATAAACTCATTATTTATTTTAAAATCTACACTACAAAATGGCTGGCAAAGAGAGTAAGCCCAGACTTTCCCAAGGGATAGCCACAGTTTTTTTACTTATTTTAACTTACTGAGTTTCAAGGTACACAACAGAAAATAATCTCTGCAATGCTTTTTGATCCACAAATCACACAGTACTTCATGAAAGCAGATGCTTATTTGTATTTTACAGAGGAAATGGAGGCATGAGAAATGCAGGACCCTGCACCTGGTTGTAACAACATTCTGAAGGGGAACTCAGCGATACAACCTCTACCTGTCATTTAGTGTCGCTAACCGAAACACAGTGGTTCAATACCTACAGCTATAGTGTATGTGTGTATATATACATATATCTATATATGCAAGTATAAGAATAAAGCAAGTTGCTGTATACATTGTAGGGATAATGCAGATTTTCAGCTTGCAAGCCTGTGTGGAAGTTTTTACATAACTTCATACTCACCAGAAATCCAGATGAATTATCCAGGAGGCATCGTAACCTACAGATGAAATTCCTTTCCATAAAGGAAGAATTCTCTGGAGGAAGTTGGTCTGGGTTATAATAGGTTGCTGGCTGTGAAAAGCCATTATCTCCTACAGGAAAAGATTATTTATAAGGCTTATTTTTAGAAGAACACCTAGGGAAGGCTATCTATAACAAATCACCTTCCATCTCATAAACAAAGCATGAGGTCGTAACCTCAGTAAGAACAATGGAAACTGGAAACATCCTCAGAACCTATACTAATTACAACATGACGTTAAGTATCAGGTTTTTTGATGGCATTTTGTCTTACAGGTTATAGTATTTGAAAGCTGCACACAATTTTTGAAATTTTTAAGAGTGGTTTTTTTGTTTGTTACTAAATTAATTCATTATGCAGCAGAGCTTTCAGGAGAGGGGATCTGCAAAAGTGAAGTAGGCACCCAGGTATAGTAACTATAGCAACTAAGTATTGAAAAGTAGATGGCATCAAACTGTGAAACTTAATTTTCAGACAGACAAAAGCTGTCAGTAGCAATGAATATGAAACATCTTTAGAGAACCACCGCAACAAATCAATGTGAGAGCTATCTGTAGAGGATGCAAGAAATCTCCAGGCTGTGCTGATCAAGAAAACACAGTAGTTACCTCTCCAGAGGAACATGGAGCACATTTTAAAACCAAACCAAACCTCAAAAACATGACTGACAACTTGTGTAACAACATGATACTCTCTGCATTTGCTGTTAAGAGCCATTTAGAAAATAGACTTAAATATTTGGAATATGAAGTAAAAACAGTAGGTAAATCAATGAACATCTGATAGAATACATATGTTTTGCATAAGACTACATATACAGAGGTACTAGAGCATGTCTATTCACAGTAAGTTTAGCAAAGTGATCTTGTTCATAATACTAAAAAAACCCCACAAACTGCTAATTCCCTAGGAATTCACACACACATAAAATTAAGAAAAAACAGTGTAAAATGCTATTTTATAGTGTTAAATACTATGTAATTTAAAAAATAGTCCATATACTCCAAGAGAACTGATTGCCATGTATGGACAAAACAAGAATACAGATTTTAAGAACGAACCTATATTGACCTTCCAGACTTTGGAGTTCCAAGTCAGGGAGAACATGTCAGTTAATCACACACCATGTTATGTTCTCTGGAACATAATTCTGCCTCTTGGACAGCTGGAAAAACTTAGAAGTGCTGAAATGAGTTAAAAGCCCTCTGAAGAAGCAATGATTACAAAGAAAGGGCATCAAAGAAACAGCCTGCAAATCCCAACTCATCTGTAAAAATGCCAACTGCAACATCCTTGAGAACCCCTGCAAGTACATTACTTGGGATCTCCTCAAAATGACTAATACACAGCATATAACAACATTAATGTTTCACAAGTATCAGTGCCAAGGAAGCAACTAAAATACTTTTTTATTTCCCAATATTTATGTTCCTTTCCTATTGCCACAATTTTATTCCTGGAAGACCAACCACTAGTGAGAAAGGTATCAGCTAATGAGGGTGAAAGAAAATTGGTATCAACAGTTGGCTGTTGTCAGAAGAAGAGCTAACTTGGAGAAGCTGCTGGCCAGGCAGGAGCATACTGACAGCACCGAGTAGTTTAGGGCACTTTCAAGGCCCTGTGTTTGTTGAGATGATTCTTTCATGGAAATTAATGAGACTATGGATAACTTCTTGGAGGGGATGTAGTAAAATACTTTAATCATCAGTAGCAGGTTCCTCGAAAGGCTTTAAGTTCTCCACCTCAGATAAATTTTCTGGCTGAGGAGTGCTTACTGGGTGTAGCTCTAGTATCCAATAAGCAGTGCAAGGCTTTCTGCTGGCATCCTTGGCACTGGTAGGCATGCCCTTCAGCAGTTCTGCCACAGAAGCAACTCGGTGTAATTTTTCAGGTAAATACAGTACTGGAAGTTGAATGAAGGTATCTTATCTCGGTTCTCTCAAGTGTTTTCAACTTCCCTAGTGAAATGGGCAATTCCCAAGAGTGAACAAGGCTTTGGTAGAAGCAGCAACACAGTCTGTAGTTTGTGAGAGAAGGGGAACGGAACTCAAAATAGAAGGGAATGGGCTTCAAGCCCAAGCCTCCTAAATTTGTGAAAGGAATACTACTACACTTTCCCAGACAGATAAGAGGCAAAAAGCTTTTAGTGCCAGGATCTTGGAGAAGTTACTCAGTGTAATAAAGCAGAGTCTTACAGAGCATCTGCAAACTCTGGAGCAAAATTGCCAGTTAACTCTACAGGGGGTAGAACCCAGATGCCTCATGAAGCTCAGCCTGGAGCTCATCAACACCATGAAGGCATGTGCAGAACATGCTGTTCACTGATTCTTTTTCTTTCTCTTCAACTTAAAGACCATTCATGGTCGCATAGCATACAAACATCAAATGATAACCCAATGAGGCTCCAAAACAGGTATTTGACAGAAAAAAGAAATCAGGCTTTTTGCAAACTGCTCTGGGAACATGATAGGGCTGGGAGGAGTGTCTGGGTAGCACAGTAAACAGCTGAAGAGACCAGTTGTCTAGGGACATAGCAGAGTATCAAGTGAGAAGTAACCAGTCCAGACTAACTGAAGCAGAATCACCTCCCAAAATCCGTACTTAAGCCTGAGCATAATTACAATACATCTATAAATACCTATGTAATGCTAGCTGGATGTATTAAAAAGGAAATGGATTAAATTAGCAAAAAAAGGGAGGATCCTTATGATCAGATCATTATCCTTTGTTATAAATCTGGATTCAGTTTTAAAAGCCTCAACATTCTAAAATGTTATGCCAAACAAGACCCAAAAATAATAACCAGCTTCTAGTAAGCCAGGGAGACAAGGTACAAAGCAAAATATTGTTTGTAATCCTGATCAGCTCTTCTGTCATTTAGTCAAACCTTATGCCATGTCAACCTGCCATCGGACCTTTCAAACAATCTTTTGTAAATTCATATGCACTTGCTTAAGAGCTACAGAACACCATTTCACTTTGAAGCAAACAGTAAGCCACCACGTAAAAACCTGGTTTCTGATTGCCAGCAGCTGTCTGCTATATCAAATTGTAATATTAAGTAGTTCTGTTGCATGCTTTCCACTGGATTGTGTATATTGAACCCTAGATGATGTAAAAAGTTTGACCACTAAAAGACAAACTGAAATATACTGAGCTGTGAGTCAAGAAACTCGCAGATTTTTATTTCTCTATGAAATCATGGCATTTCCATACTACAAATAATTAAATGGGAAACTGCTAGAGTTTTAAATCAAGCTGTTTAATGGATGACAGATTTATTAAAAATACTTTTCTGGATTAAAAAACTATCTATAACCAAATAACTTAGAATAACATAAAGCTTTAGCTACATATTTAAACAACTGTTGTGTGAAATGGAGCATTAAGGTTGTATCAACAAATTTGCCATTATTATCAGACAGGCATACGCTTCCCATATGACACAAAACTATCTGTACCAACACCTCCCTGTCCTGATATGTAAGCAATGTGTTTCTCAACACAGCAGGTCACTTAAGCATCAGTCAATAACAAGTGACAACCAGATGCTCTAACAAACATACTAGTTGGTCTTAAAGGCTCATCTATTTAATATTTTATTCGTCTTCCCCTTTTACTTTCAAGAGAAAAACTGGTCTATGTGGCAGCCTGCATGTAAGAGCAGCTGTGGAAAAGTAAATCTCTTCCATGGCCAGGAGTGCACTATTGTATATATTAAAACTGTAACTAACACGCTCTTAGTCATGGAATGGATCTACCAGCCTGAAGAGCTTACACGAGCATCATACTCAAAAGCATGCTGGCCTTCCTAAGCTAATAAATGTGATGCCGTAATCTGTAACCAGGAAGAGCAGAAGTAAAAGAGAGCTTGTTACTTCAGAGAAATCACTTTCTCATTCAAACAGTGATAAAAGAGGAGTCATATAATTGAGGGCAAACACCAAAAACCCAAACTTCCTTGTTCCTAATGTCACCAAAAGATACTGTCCACTTCTCATTGCCCTGTCTGCAACGCAAACATGCAGAATTACCTGCTTGGTATTTACCGCAGGACTATTGATCAGACATGAAAGACATTCAGCCATTTATGCTCCAAATTAAACTCTTGCAATTTGAAGAAAAATGATTACTTTATTGGTGCTGTGATATGAATAGCAGCGCTTATTTAAAATGCAAAAATCCCAGCAATTCTTATTGTTGGCAAAATGTAAGAAAAAAAGTTAAAAATATGTTATTCTTTCTTTATTCATGTAGAAGAATCCAAACTTTTTAACATACCCAAGTTGAAAAGCCCCCAAATAATCAGACAGGCCAACACATAAGTTGGCTGCATTCTCACCTTGTGCACTTGGTCCAGAATCTGCAGACTGGGCAGGATTTAATGCCCAATGTAGCTGTCGTTGAAACTCAGGTCTGTCTTCTGTGTGAATCAACTCAAATACACTCTGGTGTATAATATCAGACTATGTACAAAAAAGGGAAAAGGTAAGAAAGAAAGAATAAGGAACTTACATGACAGTATCGTATAATTTTCTGGTTCACAGTACTGCTATGGATATAGCAAAATGGATTTTGCTCAGGGATAAAAATACACATTTGCATGCATGTGGGAAAGCTTTGTGCAACAATTTCTAGCAGCAAAGAGAAGAATTAAGTCACACTCCTGACTGCAAACACGAGAAATATTAATTTAAAAATATTACCCTAGAAAAAATATAACATTATGAAAAGTACTTCCTTATCCGCTTTTATCTAAGCAAGCTTGGAACCCTTATACTTACATTTTGTTAAAATAATTTAATTTTACATACTACTAAGTAAAGTACTTGCCAGGTGGTACTTGGACCCGACCCATACTAGGTGCTAAAAGAACACAAAAAGATATAGACTCTGAACTAAACAACTTCCAAAACTAAGCCAAGTAGACTATGAACATTGGTTTTGCTTGCTTGAAAGCTTTTTTCACTCCTAAAGATGCATTAAAATCTGTTATTATTAAGTTCTCATATTGCCACCAATTGCATGGTTAGGAACGTGATCTAAATGGCAAAGCTACAACAGCAAGGATCAGTGGCTGAAAGAAATTAAGGGGAAAAAACCCACCCAAAATATTCAAGGAAAGCTTATTTCAACTGAGAGGAGTAAAATTGCCTGCTTTCTACAAGCATCAACAACTCATCCATTACATAAACAGAAAATTCTTAAAATAAAACATTGTTCTAAAGAAATTCAGATGAGTTGGCAAAAGCAGAAGCCTATCTCAAATATTGCTTTGATGAGTTTCATAAAAGAATCAGTATTTTCCAGAATAAATTGCCAGAAATGCTAATTTTTGTAATTTTAAGACATCACTTCTATATCACGCGCTTGATTTCTTGGCATTACTATACAAATTTCATGCCCAATTTATTTTAAATGTTTTTTTCTTTGTTCCTCAAGACCAAAAGAATCTGTAACCCCAGGAATAACACTGTTTTCTTTGGAACATTTTCTTTTACACAAACATTCCCCAAACTCTTATCATTTAGCTAAAATTGCAGACTAAGCAGAGTTTCTCCCTATTTTTAGAAAGCAAGTGAATCTATTTTAATTCAGTACCCAAAATTATAAATTGGTAACTATGACTAAGCCTCTATCATCTTAACAAACTAATCCCAGGAGTTCTCCAAGTAAGGCAACATGGTGTGCCACTCAGTCTTGGTCTTTACTACTTTAGTGCTGGCTTGCAAGCCCAAGGAAGATAGTCATACATGATCTGCACCCTAAGATGTAAATAACAAATGCTTGTTTTGAAATAAATAAGTAAATAAAGTAATTATGAGTTTGAGAACACCAAAATTCTAAAACCACTAAAATCACTCAGTTGATACTTCAAACTTCAATGCATATGGAGTTAATTTTGTATGAAAGGTTTCTATTAAAATAAATACCTTCCCATTGAATTCTGTCTCACTCAGCATCATAAACTGGGTAACACCACTGTATAAATTTCAAACAGTTGTTCCAGTAAAGACTAATTAAGTGTGAAAATTTCCTATCTTGCCTAATTCAACTTTGGAAACTACATTCCTGTTGTGCTTGGCCTGAGGACCCATTTCAGCTATGCAAACTGATAGAAAAGTAATATGGTTTCAGAGTAATCTAAAGTACCTGAGTTTATTATACAAACTATTAGTCCCTAAATATGAACACCAACGCCCTCTGAAATGAAGCAAAACCTCTGAAAAAACATAGTGCAAAAATAAACTTACTTGCTGGAATCCCAAGTAGTCTTGGATAGTAGAAGAGACGTAAAAAACCAGAGCATCAGATGTAACAACTAATACAAAACCATTTAATGCCTGGGGAGAAAACAAACCATTATATCAGCTTCAGAGACAAAATTCCAGACAATTATTGTGGCTGTAAGTCTACTATAACCTAGTCTCTGAAAAAAAATGTGAAGCATGCAAAAATATTATCTAACAGCACAAACAGAAGGATTCTTCGTTACGGAATCACAGAACGTTAGAAGTTGGAAGGGACCTCCGAAGACCATCAAGTCCAACCTCCCTGCCAGAGCAAGACCAAAAACTAGGGCTGATCACTCAGAAAGGCACCCAGATGGGTCTTGAAAGTCTCCAGAGAAGAAGACTCCACAACCTCTCTGGGGAACCTGTTCCAGTGCTCTGTAACCCCCACAGTAAAGAAGTTCTTCCTCACGTTGAGGTGGAACCTCATTTCTGTGATTCTGTGAACAAGTATAGGTTTGTCTAATACAAGCCATAGTTGACAGCACTAGTGTGGCTCCAGCCCTTGGTACATTGAGCTGCTGGCATCACAAACAGGAGCCGAGTCACAAACCCATTCCCCAGATCTGCTCTATTATAGCTCAGACAGGCCTGAGAGGACAGGAAATCAAGCAACTAAGATCCCCTATATAGTCCAAGAAAACATTTTATAGCTTACTTAAAATAGAAAACCTCTGCACAAGCAGACTGTTGCAAGTAAACAATGTTTTTGAAGAGATTTCCCCCTTCATGAAGCAGCAGACTAAGCGGCTCCTTATTCAAAGTCACGCAAAGGGCATTTATCTGAACTCCCAATCAATATGGTTCATGGCAATTGTTGCGATAGCAAACAGTACATTTGTGACTTGGCAGCTCATCTGAAAGGTGCTGATTTACTTCTGTGGATTTCAGTCAGGATTTAACAAAAGGCTGTCTCGAGGGACTGGATTAAGTACATTGTGCCACTTAATTTCCTCAGCTGCAATCAAATTCAAATTTGGCCAGCATACTCAAAACATTTTTTTAAACCTCTTTATTATGCAAAACTATAGTAACTAATAGAAAGTAAGTGAAGGATAGCCTACATCATATTGTAGCAATATAATATATTCTTATTATGAAAAAGAATCATTCTGTCACAAACATTAACTCCCATAACCCTGCACTATGATAATCATCATAGTTGCTTTTCCATAATTTGCAGAGATACTGCTTTACTATTCCTTGGTCTTTTACTAATAAAGTCTAATTAACTCAGGGTTAAAAATCTATTAAATGACTGGTCTTAAAATGCTGTGAACCACTCCTATTTAATGTGCAGACTTCTCTTAATCTAGTCTAATAAACAGCTGTGAGCTCTATAAAACCTCCTTATATAAGCTTAGTGAACTTTACCTGAAAACAGTACAAGCCAAAAAAATAAAATAGCAATAATCTGAAATTAAGTAGTGTAGCCAAGTCAGGAAATCTTGAGTAGTTACATAAAATCCTTGATGAAGTTCATACTAATTCCAAGGGAGCAGAATGCCACACTGCTAGGTGCTTGTGTCCTCAATTGACCTGTTCTTCAGGGCATTTCGCCTCAAGTGGTTGATACAAAAGTCTGCAAGCTGCACAGTGTCTAACTCTGGTCTACATGATAAAATTGGTTATTCTGCTCTGTTTCAGACAAAGCTATGTACAGCTCCTGTTCCTGGAATTCAATCACATTTTACAGTGGCTCTGGCACACAGTTTGTTTTGAAATGGGATTATTACTGCAGAAATCAAATGTCTTCTCTAAGCCAAAAATTCTGCAAAATGCAAGTTGTTTGCCCCAAAATCTAATGCAACAAATTATTAGAAGCTCCCTAAACCTTGCAGGTATCTGGAATATACCAATAAATTGGAGATGGGTTCTGACAGATGTTTTAGTAAAATGCAATCCTAAAATAATTATCTTAAATACAGAATGAAATTCTGCAGTGTATTTATTATTCTGGAGCATTAAACATAATATTTGTGCATCTAGAAAAATACTCTCAATATTTCCAATATAGAAGCAATTACAAAGCTGTTCATTACTGGTGAGAAATGAGATGGTTTTAAAATTTCTTGGAAGTCACTGTTTGACTAGCAATTCATATAATAAAATTAGACTGTCTTAGATTATGCATCTAAAATAACATTTTGAAATAATTTAAATAATTTTAAATGACATACAGCTTAATTTTAAGGTGGTCACATCGATGTGTTTGAGCTCTACTTGCACAATGTATTGAACTGGTAAGATAGGTTCTATTTTGAAAATTAAAGAGACAACTTTTTTGTGTTACAAAACAAGAAAAAATGTGATGAATAAATAAAACCAAATGTAAACAATATCTGTTCATACTACCTTTTCAAATAACAGAGAGAGAATAAAAAAATAAATGTTCATCATCAGCTATAATTTATGGAAGAATGTGTGACATAAAAGACTTCCAAGCTTAGGCAGAAGGCTAGGATTTTACCAATATTTTCATCTTACTGATGCTCAGTATCCTCAAGAAAATTCCCACTTCCATCACTCATCATTTCTTATGCTCCCTAAAACAAGTCTATCTGCATATTTATTCTCATATTTTTTATATATATATGAAATATTTACAAAATAAATTCATTTAAGCAATTCAGTTCAGCCACTTGTGTCCCAAGTGGGGCAGAATTTACACTAACAAATATATTACCCACTTCATTTTCATACTGGAAAGCAGTTTCCTATAGTAGTTCTCTCATATAACTTCCATTCAGAAGTCATTAAAAAACCCCTACATTTCACACGGAATAAATACTTCCAATACAAACTATATGCTGTACTTTTTTAGATAATTTCCATTTAAAAGAAGGCTGTTCATCTGCAGTAACTCCATTACAGCTCTTTTTCATACTTCATTAAGGTTAGAAAATTCTACATACCACGCCCTAGTTTTTTTAGTTGGTTAGGAAACAATTTTCCACAAGCATTAGTTTACAGTAATTGCTTTGTGGGATTCTTAGAACCCGTTTTAATTTCTACCCTTTGAACAGTTATGTTAATTTTGTTCTAAGCAAACCACCAGCTCTGACCTAATGATTTGCCACTTCTGATACATCAGTGTGAAACCAGACATTATCAACACATTTCAATGGAGCTGCAGGTCACAGTAAAATCTATTTTGTAACATTAATTAGAATATTGGAATATTTATATTAGTAATTTCTTGAGTTTAATCTGGTCCTAGTATTATACAGGTTCATAGTGTGTATACATGTCCTTGACATTCTAGGACATTTTAAACAGACTATTAAAAAAGACTACATAATTTAAAAAAATTCAAATTTACAGTAATTATTTTCTGTACTTCACATTGCTAAAAGTATTGGAAATATTTTTACATCTGTCCTGAACCTATACTATGAATTCTGAGTTCTTTCAAACCACTGAGAAAGCAAACTATTCCAGCAAGCCCAGGGTTTTTTTAAAGATAAATTATTTCTTTAGACAATTAGTCACCAAATTTACAGTAGATGACTAATGTATCTGACCTTTATGAAAGGTTTTTCTTCATATTAGTATCTTTATTAACAACAGATACAAAGAGATGGGAAAAAACAACTCTACAAAAGGAATCAAAGAGCTAAGAGAACCCCATAGTCTAACACCTGTTCTTCAAAGTTATTATTACCACCAAGGTGCAAGAGCTGCATAATATTAACCTAAAGAAAATGAGAAAAGAAATTAACAATAAGAAAACCTCATTTTTCGATCTCATTAATGAGTAAATGGTAAGTTAAATACAGTATCGTCTTTTTTGGGGGAGTGGGAATTGAAACCTTTGTATAATACATCCACTGCAAAACATACCTGCAGTAAGAGTTCTCCTTCCAGTATCTGCATCCCTTCTGCACATTTTGCTGTTCTACAGTTTTCCTGAATGCTATTTCTTTCTGGTCTTGCTGAGTTAGAAGATTTTAATGCAACTAGAAAAAAAGAAAGGAAAAATTTGAGTTATCTTTGTAAGGCTCACTAGAAATTTATGTGATGCTGTGCTCTTTTGTTTAAGAAAAAACTAATGTTTTTAAAATGCTTAAAAAAGCAATTTAATGAAAGATCTGTTTCAATGTCAGACTCTTTTGTTACCTTTAGAGATAAACCCCAAATTTGTCATCCATCTCCTTTCTAAACTATAATACTTTCACAATAAAATCAATATTATTGAAATAAAATCTCATCATTTTAGTCCTTTTTTTCTCCTTCTCTTTACTATAAGCTTCGCTTTTAGCTTGTCAGTCTTGATAAAGGACATTTTTGTTTTCATACAACCTCATATAACCTGATAAAAACACTGCTTTAAAGTATGACAGTACTTATTTATATTCCATTTAATTTCAGACATCAAACTATGTTACCTCAGATACAAGCCTACTCTAGACCTAAACATCCTTTCAGAGAAAGGACAGGACACAGGAACCCCAACTGCATATTACACATCAAAGAAAACAAAGAAAGCTATTTCAAACAAAATGCACCATTTTTTTTCCCCTGCCATAGTTAAATTTTAACTATATAAACAATTAAGCATGCATTCCAATTTAAGATAAAACTCTATAACCATGAATCACTTATTCAGGCCACAAATATAACCAGCTGAAAGGAAAAAAAAATATAAAATTAGTAAGGGCTGATGAATCTGAACAAATTGCCACAAAATACTTGGAAGATATGCTATCTCTGCACCGTGTCTTCTAATAAACAGGATGTTGTCAAGTAAAACTAGATACTCAAAGATTGTCCATAACTCAGTTCTGAAAAGGAAGGGAGTGAGGGGAGGGGAGAAGAGTCCCCAAATCTGAAATTACTCTGTATGGATCTTTAGTGTCCATGCTGCTTAAAATTACTTGAGTAATTGTACCTTAAACCTTTACCATAAAACTAAACACAAACCCCAACCCTTCCAGCCTCAAAATTTCAAAACTGCAAAGGGAAATTTATAAAAGCCATTGCACCTTTGTACAATACCTGCAGTTTCTCATAATTATGAGATATTCACCCCAAATTCCAAACAGCTTTTTAAACCTACTGAAAACCTTCATTTTCCAGCTGCTCAGAACTTTAGTCGAGAAGTCTAAAGAACTCCTGTTCACTCACTTTTCAACTATGTTAAGTATTATTTTACCCTAAGTACATTAACTGAAAGATAAATTATACCTTTCAGGTTTTTTTAAGCTATCACTGCAGCTAAAAACTTTCAAGCCAGACAGTTTTCATTAAAATATCCCTCAAAGGCACCGCAGAGGAAAAACATGTTCTAAAAAGACATTAACTGATTAGTCAGGAATTTATCTGAGGGTTTGCTTTGAAATTAAAAAAAATAATATTCTTCTTCCTACTGGATAGTCTAAAAGTCCTGTAATAGGCCACACAGATTTGCAATCGTAAAT